GGCTGCTGCACGCTAGGTCTGTGCGTCCTTTCGTGTGTTAGTACATGAGGAATCACCATATATTATTTTTGTGGATACGTCAGACAGGAAGATTGTTTGAAGGATGAATGAGAGCATTTTCTTGATTTATAGCTCGGGGAAGGAGATGCTGGTGAACCCATGTGAGGTGTAGAGAAGCATTTTCAAAATACCGTGTCCCACTTGCAGAAGTACGTTCGTTATGTAGAATCCTACCTGCAGAAGAATCACCCTGGTAGTAACTATAAACATCAGGTGTTATCACTTCTAGTAGTGTCTGCCAAACACACTGTTAGTTTCAGAAAGTACAGCCTCTTAGAAGAAACCAAGCTGAAAAGTAAAATCGCTGAACAGAAGTGGTTCTGTTTAGCTCAAACCAGGACAATGTGACTTGTACCTATAGGATGCAACATGTTTTGGAAATGTTACCCATACTTCTGTTCAGGTTATATATTTAATCACAATGTATTTTCTTTCTGAAATTGTTTCTTGTAGAGACAGGTTCCAGTTATAGCTGGTGGGTAGTGAAACAGAAAAGGTTAGGATAGGATACATGTTTGGATGCTATTGAGAAAAAGTTGGGTCACAGGAGAAAAAGCAAAGGGCATTGCTTGACACGGCACTCGTGTGCAAAGGTTGTGTTTTTACAGAAACACAGCTAAGGGAAGTTGATGTAGTTGTCTTGCAGTGATTTAACTGGAGAGCCTGGTGTTCAGGTGGCGGAAGAGAGCAAGCAGGATTGATATGGGATACCCAAAAGGAAATATATCTAACTTCCCTTCATTCTATGTGAGTTTTTCTTTTCCCTTTCCCTCATCAGGAAGTTTGTAGAAACCTTAGTGCTACACTAAATTGTTCAGATGGTGACCTGTGCCTCTTCTCATCTCTGGTTTCACTGCCAGCATCATGGTGCTGAGTGATATTTTATCTTTTGTCACAAATTCACACCAGTTGTTTAACCAGCCCCATCCTGTGCTGTGAGTTTGGGACTCTCTTGTAGTAATTGCTTGTTGAATAAGCTGGTTGCTATGATATTTGTGTTGATTTGAAAGATTTGTTTGTGTATGTGTTTGTGTATATGTGAGGGTGAGTAAAGATATTGCTGTTTTGGAAAGGGAAAAATGCAGAGGGAAGTGCAGAAATGATAAACAACTAGAATGGGATATGGCAGAAATAACCTGCTTGGCGAGGTTGGCAAAGAATTATAGGAGGTACAATTTTTGTACCTCAGTGAAAGAATTCCTGGGCACCTACTGGGATGTGCTGTAGAAAAGATTGTTTTAAAACTGGGTGAAAACATGATGTTGAAGTACAATGAGGATATTTAAAATTCCACAAAAATGCAAGGAAACATCAAAGGAGAAAAGCATAAGAGAAGGTGTGCAAAGACAGAAGGAAAGACAGGAAGTCAGAAAGAAAGACAAAGAAGGAAAGAAAGGAAGAAAGAAAGGAAGAAAAAGAAAGAAGGAAAGAAGGCCATCTGATAGTTTCTTTCCC